ACCGAGAGACAGACCTGGGTCCTGCAGTCACAGAGGTGGGGATCCAGCAGGGGCCAGGCTGGCCCATTGCGAGGTGACCAGGTCAGAGCAGGTCAGCAGCTGTTTACTGCAGGCCTTGGCCATCGGCATTCTCATACACGGAGTGTCAGGAGCCAGTTCCTGGCAGCAGGTATGCAGCTGGTGGCCAGCAGCTACTCAGCCAGCATGGGGAGCCATCAGACATGGACGGGTCCCTGTCACTAGGGTCATGCATAGCACCTCAGTCTCCCCGTGTTCTTGTCACCTGCTTCCCACTCTCTGAAGGAAACTCACTCCGAAGCCTGTGCACCTGAATCCTAGCCACACATGGAAATCTTCCTAGGGGCACAGCTAGGGGAGGGGACAGCAGGACTGGGTTTTGCCTCCTTGCTCTACCTCTGACCAGGTGCAGGAGTCCACATCTCCCCTGGAGAGCGGACTGTGGGGAGATCCAGCAAGACCTAGGAATGCAAGGTGTCAGAGCTGATCCGTGGAGCACAGGTGCATAGAGTGTAGGCCTGCTCGGCAGCCTGTAGTGGGCCCAAATAGGCTCCCCGAAATCCTTGTCTACCCAGAACCTCGGGATGTGACCTTTTGGGGTATAAGGTCTTTGCAGATGTGATTAGTTAAGGATGGAGATGAAATCATTCTGGATTTAGGGTGTCAGGTATCCTCATTTATAGGAGAGAAGTGTGGACCCTGAGACACACCCAAGGGACTGCGTAAAAACAGGAAGAGGCTCATTGTGCATGTTTTCTGGGGTCCCTTCCCGCCTGCCGCCTTTCTCCTTCAGCGTCCATGCCAGGCCAAGAGCCACCTTCTGCCAAAGTTCTGTTCTCTGACCTCCGCTGCCCGCTGGCCTCGGGTGTGCCGGCCACAGTCCCACAGGGGCTGTACAATGCCAAGAGTGACCTCATGCCAGCTGTGGACTTGGTGATGATGACACATCCCTGTAGGCTCATCAGCCATGACAAATGTACACTCTGAGGAGGAGGGAATAAGGGAGGTCATGGGCATGTAGGGGCAGTGGGTACGTGGTGCATCTCTGTACCGTCCTCACACTTTCGCTATGAACACAAAACTACTCTAAAAAATCAACTCTATTAACTAAAAAAGAAATAGGTGAAATTGGTCTTAATAATATATTTTATTTAACTCAGTATATCCAACATTTTATATCGACATTAAAATTATAATGAAATATTTTACATTCACTTTTATCCACCCTCTTTCAAATCAATATGTATTTTGCTTCTACGGTGCTTCTCGACACGGACAAATAGTGCCCCCCAGCCTCCCGTGACAGGCGGGACCAGATGTTTCCATAGCTTGAGGACCGTTCACATTCTGTCCCGGCCCACCTGCTCAGCCTCTGGTCCTGTTGCCTCCCTTATGGCCCACTATGGCCCATCAGCCGCCAATATACTGCTCCCTGCCCTGGTCCCCTATATGCAGACCTGGCTCAGGTGTCCCCCGGTTCTTGATGGAGCGCGTCTGGCCTGTACTGGCCTCCCCCTCCCTCCTCTGAGCCTGTGGCCCACAAAGGCCCGTCATGGATGGGTGGGGAATGGAGAGGGGTGGGGAGGGGGGCATGTTGGGACCGAATGTGAATGATTCTGGAGGGAGAGTTGGCAGGGTAGGGTAAATGGTTGGACGGGTGGTGGGGGCAGCTGAGGACAGTTGGGGGCAGAGGGGTCGAGGGAGGCCCCTGGCCCGGTCGGTTTCACATCCCCCTGAGAGTCTCCCAAGGTTCTCTGGATGTGTCCATTGGCATCACTGCTTACCTGGAACTGCCTGTCTGCTCTTCTCTGTGTCCCCAAGGGCAGGACAGCATGTGTCCTGCTTACGGTGAGATGAAGGGACCAGTGCACAGTGGGTATTCCGTAAACATGTGTGCCATGAACAAACTTGACCCAGTGAAGAAATGTGAATTCCTGCTTGTAGTGTGGAGCTGGAGGCTTTGAGGAGCTAAACAAATACTGGATGAAAGAGTGAGTGAGTGAGTGAGTGAGTGAGTGAGTGAGTGAGCTGAGGGCCCCGCCTCTGGCAAGAGGCCTGGAATCTGAGGTTCACGGCTAACCGGGGAACTGGATCTGCATTGTCCTATGGGGTGAGGCATTCCTGATGCCTCAGTCACTGGTGGCAGTGGCAGACTCATTCACCTGTCCCAAGAGGAGGAGGGAGAGCTAGCCTGTCCTCGAGGCCTTTGCACCTGCTCTCCCCTCTACCTGGAATGCTGTGCTAGTTTCCTAGGGCCACCGTGACAGAGGACCACTCACTGGCCTGCCTGAAATAACGGAAACATATTCTCCTGGCTGAGGATGTTGGCAGGATTGGCTTCTTCTGGAGGTTCTTGGGGAGAACCTGTCCCCGGGCCTGCCCTCAGCCTCTGGCTGTGGCCTGCAATCCTTGGCATCCCTTGTCTGTGTGCACCTTCACACGGCACTCCCCCTGTGTGTCTGTGTGTCCCTAGGTTGAAATCCCCTCCTCTTAGTACTCTGGTCATTGGATCAGGGCCCACCCAGTACTGTGTGATGTCCTTGTCACTTAATTACATCTGCAAAGTCCCTGTTTGCAAATAAGGTCACACTCACAGGTTCTGAGTGGACACAAATTCTGGGGGGACATTACATAGCCAGGTACAAATGACTTTGCCCCAGCCAGGCACATACTCCCTTCCTTCCTGTCTCTGCCCAAACATCTTGGTGTCCAAAGAGCCTTTTCTGACTCTCTAGACAGCAATCCCATGGACTGCTCCAGCCCAAGCCTGACCACACCTGAGGCTGTTATATTTTTCTTATTTATCACCTTCGTTCCCTTGTCCCACTAGACCTGCTCCACCTGCAGGCCCACACTAGCAGGTGCCCTGGACAGTGGGCAGGTGTGAGCAGATCCTGTGACCTGGTCAGGGAAGGTGAGGGATGGGATGGTGGGGAGGGGAGGCTGGATCCTGGGGAAGCACCTAGGCTGAGGCAGGTGGGTGTCAGGGATGGATGACAAGGTATCTGGGAGGCAGAGTCCATGGGCAGGTCTTAGACTCAGCTTGCTGGTGGCAGTAGGGACAGCAGAGGGGCCAAGAGGCTCCATGCATCAAACTTGGAAACACAGCCGTTGGTTTCTGTGGAGACTCGAATTCCCCGGGTCTCTGATCACTCCTCTGCTAATGGGCCTCTGGCTCCCTCCTTCTCAAAGCAAATCAGTTCTCTGGGGTTTGGAGAGTAAGTGTGTCCTGAATCACCCCTCCGGGAGCCCTTGTTGGTTTTCTGGAGCAGGGCTTCCCTGGGGAGTCCAAGGGCAGTCAAGGGCCCACTCTGGGGAGGGGGCTGGCCCCTACTAGACACCCCTGAGAGTCAGGGGACAGCACTTGCCCTCTGTCCTGGTCTGGGAAGGCCCTTGGGGCCCTGAGGCCAGCAAGGGACTTGGCCTCTGGGGACAGGTGGACAGGTGACCACTAGGCACCAGGGCAGTAAACACAGCACGTCTTCCTGGAGCTTCAGTTTGTCTTGAAGATCTGGGGGGGAAGTCCGTTGGTGCAGAGACTACTAAAGATGTACTGTGGAAGGCACCCGACACGTGCTGATGGTGCAGGCATTTATGACGAGCAGTCCCAGGTGGTCCCTGGGTCCCGACAGCACTGGGCAAGCCTGAGAAACACCTGCCTCGTGCAGCCCCTGGAGGGGGAAGGGGGTGTGGGGGCCTGATGCCAGGGTTCCAGCCGACACCCCCCTCCCCCTTGCACATGCCACAGATTCTCGCCCAAGGCCCTGGGGCTGCACTCCCGCCAGCAGGTCTTGGCTGGGAGGAGACAGAGGTGATTGTGGGGAGGCCTGGGCCCTAGGGTGCCATGCACAGCAGGAGCTCAGTAGTAGTGGCTTCCACCACAGGCCCTGTCCCCTGGTGGGTGACTTCCCTGACATATCAGAAGAAGGGGCAGCTCAAGGAGAGCCCCAAAGCCGAAAGCCCTGGATGTTCCAGTTTGGGGTTCAGGTGGACCCGGCTGGCTCTGGCTTGCAGCCAGGCTTGCTCTGCAGTCACAGCACATTTTGATGGTGTGATAATAAGGAGCATTGGCTTTAGGGTCACTGAGGTTTTAAGCTTCAATGTGGAATTAATCCCACATCCCGATGTATCGGTTGCTTCCAAACAACCGATGTGGAATTACCTGACAACTGATTTGTCTCCCCCTCTCACTGCACAGACTGGGGGTTTAGAGCCCCAGATCCTGTCCTGCACCCCTCATGCTACAGACAGGGATGTGGGCCCACAGTGAGGAGCATGTGCCCTGGTGGGAAGCCAGCGGTGGTGGCACTCACTGGCAGACACAGGGCCAGGGGCCTGGCTTCCAGCAGCACCCAGAGCTCCATCCTGTCTGCTGTCCCCTGCCGTGTGGTCAGGGGGGAAGGTGCACCCTCCCACCCCCCAGGAACATTCGGCGGAGCAGACAGGATGCCAGCTGTGAGTGGCACAGGCCAGCTCGGACATCCTGAATCAGCCACTGGTTAGCAGAGTGATTTCAGGCGGGAGCTTACCTGCGCTGAGCCTCCTCCTCATCCTTGGGGCACCTGCAAGAGAGACATAGTGACCTAGTCTTTAAGGGTTTTCGAGGAGTCGAAAAGATGGAAGGACAGAGTTCCTGGCACACGGGAGGCCCTTCATAAACAGACACACGTGTGGCCGGTGGGCTAAGATAAACTTAGGGACAGGACAGAGGGCTGTGGAGGGCCATGGAGGAGGGGACCCCGTGGGGAGACTGGCTGGCATTCACTGACTCCACGCGCAGTTCCAGACCTGGAGCACTTGGCCACGCTGAGGGAGCCCCGTCTCCTCCCTGTCACCTGGGGCATGCTGCTCCCGGGGAGGGCTTGTCGTGGGGTGCTATGTCCACACTGGTGTGCGGCCCTTGCTGGCTGCCATGTGGGCTGGGTAAACCTGCACCTGGAGGGAGGGACACCTGGCTGACACCTGTTGTCCTGTTCCCCCAGGTCCTCTGACTTTGGCACATCCTACACCAAGCTCACCCTCCAGCCTGGCGTCACCACAGTCATCGACAACTTCTACATTTGTCCGACGAACAAGAGGAAGGTAAGTGGCACGCTGGGGCAGCTGCCCACTCTGCACGGCCGGGCTCCAGCCTCAGGCCCCTGGCCAGGGTGTGTGACATGACAACCTCTCCCACGACACCCTTTCCGGTTCCACTGTGACCTGTCCTGCTGACTGTTAGGATGGCCAGCTGGGCTGTTGGTGGAAGGCCGTGAGCGCTTGTGCGGGTGCGTCTGTCTTCTGCTAGCCCTGCAGACAGCATCCAGGGCAAGGCAGCGGGGCCGGTGGGTGCTGCGGAGTGGAGGAAGGTCTCTGCTTGGTCTCTGGAAGGCAGTTGTGAGCAGGTGCTGTCTTTGGCAGGTGTTTTTATTTGGTTTTGATTTGGCTTCAGTTTTTCAGTTGAGCCGTACTGTCTGTGTTCTTGGGCTGAGCGTGTCTCCTGACTGCTCTTTGCCTGGCTATGGCATCGGGACAGTCGTTGTTCCCAGGCTGCCTCTGCCTGCCCGGTTCTGGGGAACACCCATGTGTAAACTTGTGCTTGCTTCCCAGCCACCTCGGACCCAGAACAAGGTTGGAGGAGGCACCAGGGGGGTAGAGAGGACTTGTGTGCTTGGCTGTGTCTGGAGAAGCAGCTCAGTGTCACCAGAGGGGACTTACTTGGACAGATCAGGTGCCTCACGGGAAAGGGGAGGTAACCTCGTCTGGCACAGAGAATCAAATCATGATGTTGGAGATTGGAACCCATAGCCTGGCGCTCCCTCGGTATGAGGTGGGCCCACGGCACTGACAGTGGCTCTGATGACTTAAATGAAAGGTCCAGGGGAAACAGAGCCTGTGACATCCTCTGTGTGTCCCCAGCCAGGAGGGTCCTCAGGTACCGGGGAAGGGGCCAGCACCGTCCCTGCAGGCCGTGCTCGCCTTTGGAAATGAGAAGTTGGGGAGCAATGAGGGAAGGCGTAGAGCAGGCTTTCTGAGGCTGTGAGATCAGGGAGGCCTTTACCTGGAGGCCGGGCAGGATAGTGGTGACAACAGCCAACAGCCTCAGTTTCCTGGCCTGTGGACAGGAAGGATGAGGCATGTAGTGGGAGGGGGCATAGTGAAGGGGCTTCTGGATTGGCTCGGGCCTTTTGGGCAGGCCAAGGGTGACATCACTGTGGGTGACCTGGAGATGTGTGGAGCCCGGGGGATGGGGGGGCTCTGATTGGGACACTCTGCAGAGCCTCCCCTGCAGGCAGCACAGGGGCAAGGAAGCAGCAGGGAGACGGTGGTGTCTAACACAGACAGGCCCACCTGGCTCAGTTGGAGCCCATGAGAGGTTTTATGAGGATTTGCATTTTAGTCTGAAAATATCAATGGGGGTAGAAGTCTGGGTCTGGTGGGGTCCTGTGGCAGCCCAAGGGTTTGGCCGACACTGGAAGAGTGGAGTGTGTGCCACACTTGGCAGCAGGTCCTGCTGAATGAGTGACTCCCCCAGAGCTCCCCTGCACCTGGCAGAGTGGGAGAGCCTCCCACCTGCTCGAGGCCTGTGTGTGCACAGCCCGGGGCTCCTTCCTGGGGTTGCTCTGGTCACCCTGCATGTGCCTGGAGGCCTAGGGGACGGCGCCTGGGCAGGGGGGGTCCTGAACTCAGTCCTGCTTTGCCATGTCTCCCAGTAAGGAACCTCCCTGACGTCCTTTCACTTCTCTGAGCCCAGGGCAATGATTGAGGAGTTACGTCCTGCTCGTAATTGTCACTGTGGGGTGGGGGGCTGCACAATGGGTCCCAAAGGTGTCCTCTTCCCAGTCCTGAAACCATGACTGTCACCTTACATGGCAAAAGAGACTTCAGAGATGCAGCTAAGGACTTTGAAAGGTGGTCCTGGATCCTCTAGGTGAGCCCCTGTCATCGCAGGGCCCACGCCAGAGGGAGGGAGGGGGCGGGGGCGGAGGCTGGGGATGGGGGAGGACACCTAAATGCTGGGAAAGGCCAGGAGAGTCTTCACCCCTGGGGCCTCCAAATAGGAGTGCAGGCTGCAGATGCCTCAGTTTTATGCTTCTGGCCTCCACTGTATGGATAACTTTCTGTTGTTTTAAGTTGCTTGGTTGCAGTGACTTGTTATGGTGGCCGCCAGAAGTCATGCAACATCCGTTCTGAGGGTGGACTGGAGGGAGGCCAGCTTCCCCTCTCCCTCCATTGCCCTGCCCAGCCATACCCACTCTGGATGGAATCACCATCCTCGGCCCCCTTCCCATGGGCCCTTCTTCTAGGACTGGAAAGCCCAGTCACGGATGCAGGCAGGGCCCAGGCCTGTCCTGGGTCTGACCTCTCCCATGGCAGCACCCCTCGCCCCCCAACACACCTCAGGATGGAGCTGACCCTCCCTCTGGTGGGGATGAAGGTACTAATAGGCCCACTGAGGCACATACGAGCCCACAGGATGGGTGTCTGTCTCAGAGGCAGGCGGGGGCAGCAGTGAGGGCAGGTGTGTTCCTCTGGGCCTCGGGAGCTGGGCAGCAAGGAGTACCCAGCACAGCTGACTGGAAACACTGGGAACTGGAAGGAAGTCGGGGTACGTGTGGGCCGGGCAGGAAGGCAGCCCGGAGATTGACTCCTCTACTTCTCTTGCTGGAGTGTCAGGCCACCTCCATAGCCCCCCAGCTCTGTGACCTTGCCAAGTCCTAAACCCTTTGCTCCCAGTTTCTCCTTGGTGGAAGGGGGGTAATAGTAGTATCTATGCTGTCAGGTTGATGGGCTTAAATGAGGTGCTGCGTGTCAAGTGCTCCGAACATGGCCTGGCTTAAGTGAAACCCCCACCTGTGTTCCTAGGACCACTGTCTTTAGAAATGCAGGAGGTCCTCTCCTTACCAACCACCAGAGATTGTGAGGAGGAGAGGTGGTTCTGGGGTGCTTCATACTCACATGGGGTGGCAGTTGTCAGCTGTGTCTGTTGGGGAACAAGAACCGGCCCGGAGAATGGGGGCCCTGTCAGGTGTCTGTGACAGGTGTCTGACCCAGGTGGCCACAGGTCTGGGAGGTAGCCAGCAGAGGCCTGAGCTCTGAGCAGCAGGCTGCAACCGCTTGGCAGGAGGACAACCCTGGGCACTTATGTCCATTTTCCCTGCCTGTGTTCCCTGTCCTCACATGGGGTCATACCAGCTGAGTGTGGACTGCATGAGTAGATACGTGGGAACTACTTAGATGGGAGCCGGGGATGTGGTGGTGCTGTGCCTCCTGGAGCCGCCCTGCAGGAGAGGGGCCTAGGTGGGGGCTCCATGGGATGTGGATTGGAATGCACTGAGAAGCAGAAAGCCCCAGTCACTGTCACAGCAAAAAGTGGTGTGGAGTCATAGCATGTAGGGGACAGGGAATCTACGGTGGCTTAAATAAATAAGATTTATTTATTTATGAGAGACACACAGAGAAGGGTAGAGACATAGGCAGAGGGACAAGCAGGCTCCCTGTGGGGACCTGATGCAGGACTCAATCCCAGGACCCCAGGATCGTGACCTGAGCCAAAGGCAGACGCTCAATCACTGAGCCCCTGAAGTTTGGTCTTCAAACTTCTGAAGGAGCATCTGAGGGAACAGGAGCAGCCCGTGCAGACCACTTGGTGGAGACTGTATCGTACTCACCTCCGTGTCCTCGGCTGGGCACAGTCCTGAGTGCTCAGCCAGCCCTCGGGAAATATGCCACGGGCTGGGCTGGAGATGGGGTGCTGCCCTTCGGGGGAAGGGATTTCTATTTCCTGTGAGGTGTAATTGTCCTTCCATCTCTGTGCTATATTATTCATTCATTCATGGCTTCTTGATTCTTTAGCCACCCCACGGTGATTCTTCATGGTGTGCCAGGCCCTGGGCCAAAAACAGATGTCAATCATATCCATTTATTTTTGGGGAGGTGGGGCACAACTTGGGGGTTTATGCCATCACCTGCACTACCCAGGTGAGAAAATAGGCTCGGGGAAGCTGGGGGATGTATCCAGGCTCTCCCAACTGGTAGGTAGAAAAGTGTTTACTGTTCACCAAAGCAAGTGAGTGTGTCTCTGTGCCTGGGTCTGCTAGATGCTGGAGCACACTGTGTCTTACCCTGAGCTCACCAGGCACCCCGCAGCAAAGTTCTGGGGAGCACATGGGATTCCCCAGGTCCATGCAAGCGCAGTCCAGCCCACTTCTCTGGAGGGTGGAAATCGGCAGTTCCTTGACATGCCGGGGCTGGAGCGGGCCCAGTCTGAGCATGGCTGAGCTGGGCAACTCTGGGCAGATCCTGTTTCTTCCCCAGGCCTGTTTCTCCAAGGAGGTTGAACTCGAGATTCTCCAAAGCCCTTTCCAGCTTGGATGTTCTAGACTCCTCTGCTCCTGTCCCAGCAGGAAAATGGTGGCTGGGGAAGGAGACACATGTGAGGAGAACTCCAGTTCTGCGTGGTTCATCCCGGGCCTCAGCTGGGCCCCCAAGCTCCCTCTCAACACCAGCGCACACCCACTCAGCAGATGTGGGTCGAGGCCCTACGACATGCCAGGCTGTGTGCTTGCTGCTGGGGCGGGAGGACCCTTCATCCAGTTTTATAGAAAACAAATCTGGATTACATATTTATTTCTTCAGAGTAGAAGCCCCTCGCTGGGCCCTGGGGTGCAGGGGTGAACTGGACAGACAGCTCGAACCTTCTAGAACCTTGAGGGTCTGGAAGAGGGCTGAGGAACTGAACCTCTCCTGCCATGGTTTGTGGGAGGAAAATCAAGAGGACTTGTTCTGGGGTGAGTCTGAGCTGAGAGAAGATCGGGCCCTAATTTGCAGGGGTGCCTGTGGATGTGTGCCTACCTCTTCAGTTAGGGTAATGGATAGACTTTGCAGGAAGATGTGAATCCTATTAGGAGTCCATTTAGCAATAATTACAGGCCAGGCAGCACTTTATAGCTTAAGAGACCACTTTGCAACCTGTCTTACAAAATGAATTCCCTTTTATTTTTGCCTCTCCTGCAGTAAAACAGAGCTCCCTGGCCTCCCTGTGCATGGGTAGGGCCTTCTACTATTGTCACGGCATGACCTCTGGCCCCGAGGGCCCTGAT